GACCAGAACCAGTCGGGTAGTGGGCCGGCTTTGGCCGTGGAGACGAAGTAGCCGAGTGCCAGAGGCTGCTGCAGGAGGTTAGGAACTTCTTCGTGGGACTCCATACGATCGGTACTCTGACCCTGCAGCGAGGTGGAAACTCGAGATGAACTTTTTGCTTTCTAAGCGTCATGTTGCACAGCGTGTGTGTTGTGTACATGTCGTACCTTGCTGCCATCACCTCCGTGGTGGTAATGAGAGCCGGGGGAGTGCACCGGGGAGGTGGTAGGCGAGATGTTGATGATGTCTGGATCCACTAAATCGTTCTCCTGGTCGAGCAGGGCCAAGATCTCGATAGCATCAGAGCCATCTGTGGAGAAGAGAGCAGCTCAATAGGATCTGCGATTGGAGGGCGAGTGTGCCATTTACTGTGATGCACATTGTGACTGTAAATATTCCTTCTTGTTCTGCCAACAATTTGTCACAAAAGAAATAAGCTGAAGACCTTTGAGGGTGCCATAGATGCAGAAAGCATGTATGCAACCAAACTTAACAGAGTAGAGAAGTAAACGGGGAGGATTTGGAAACAAACACTGACAGGGGGGATTGCTGCGAGACAAACAAGAAACAGCTGCTGAGTGAAAGACAGATAAAGGACAACAACTGACCAGTGGTGGGATTGAGAATGTCGATGTTGGTGTCGATGTTGGAGCTGGCGACCTGGACGATGGCAGAGGTGGGGAAGACCAGGATGTGGGTGCAGGAAGTGTCCTGCGGCGTGCTAAGCTGCGATGTCTGCATGTTTAAGGTGGTGCTGCGGCCAAACACCGAGCCCGTCGACACCGAGTCTGAGAGGACGCACAGAGAGAAAGGGTCAGTGTAGAGACACAATATGAACAAGAATCCATTCACAATCCTTTTGTCTGGTACGAGTGATTAAACTGGTGCTCGCTGAGCAAATTCATCCCAATCGTTAAAAGTGATTTAATTTCACCGCACCGTCGTGACTATGTTAACAGACAAACGTTAGAGCGAAAGCCGAGTTAGAGCTTTAACTGATTAACACAGCTGTGGCATCAAAATGGAAAGAATTACCTGATTAAATATTCATACGTGTTAATTTTTGCAGCTAAAAATCACAGCGTTCGGTTTTCAAAAGCGTATTTTAAAGTGTTCTCACACATACACACCACGGAGGAAAGTAGATTGTGAATGTCAGAACAGCTGTTACATTTAGTGCCAACCCCCTTAGTCATAGTCATCTGAGGCTAACACAGCCTCGCTAATCTCTTTCAGCTTGAAGGGGTTTTTAGAAAGGAGATGTCCTCAGCTTGGCATAGCTCAACAGAATCCCGGCATGATGCACTGACAATCCCCCCCTACTCGTTTCCCAAAATAAACCCATTGATCTGGCTCTCCATCACACTGCATTGAGATCAATGAGTATCTGAGAGGTAGTGCTTTATGAGCGAAAGGTACACGATCTTCCCTGCCATCAATCTGCCCTGGATGGGGAAGGGAAGGGGGGGGCATTGTGATACGCTCCTACCATCCATCATGCCACACACACACACACACACACACACACACACACACACACACACACACAC